CAAACATCTGGAGCACCCCTGGAAGACCATCGGCACTGACCCAATCACCACCTGTCCATTGCAAAAGGCGGCTTTAGTTGGAAGCTGTTCCGAGTACGGCTGGGACGATGCCTTTAACACCATCGAACAACACCATCTGCCTATCCCAGGTCCTTGGGAAGGACTCAGGTAGATAAAAATGCCAGATCCAGCCTAAACATCTGGCTGACTGTGCGGCCAACCATAATAATAAAGAAGAAGCCTCATCTGCAACATTCAGACTGAACTGCTAGTTAACTTCCTCATTTCACTATCAACATTCCTCTGTGTGTGCAGCCTCACACACTTGAATATACGTCCTGGGCACGGATGGGAGCCATCCTGTACAACTGAATAAAAGGCGATTGGGCAGGGTTTGCACCCGACCCTTCACTCCGAACAAATTCACCCCAGAGAAGTTCCCAAAGATACAGTGAGGCACCAGGAGGCATGTGAGAGGCGCAGCAGATTAAGGCCAGTTTTGAATATGGCCGGCCAGTGACAACTAGCTTGGGAGTTAGGAAGGGTGCGTGTCTGGCTCTGCCTTTTTGGGGCGCCAGCTAAAGAGTCGTGGAGGCTTGCTTTGGGAAGGCCTGTAAAACCCAGCCCCTCCTAGCCAGTTCTGTAACAAGGATGGGGTGAGTGCTGGGGAGGGACCCAAGCTGTGCCACCAAGACCCATGACTTGTCACTATGCCCTCTTTTCTTTTTACCATCAAGTTCTTGTTTTCAGGGTAGGAAGTTAAAATGCTCGGGGAACAGGTAGAGCGTCCTCTTGCTCCTTAGCAGCAGCAGAGCCAGGCTGTAGGAGGGGAGGGAAGACACGTGGAAGCCAGGCTGAGCCGCCTGCAGGCTTTTCACGCGGGAGCTTCAAGGAAGAGCAGACTTCCGGAGCAGCCTTGCAACTTGCGGGAGCTCCTGGTCAGCCGCCCAGTCTTTTGGAGTGGGCAGCATAGTAAATCAAATAAATAAAACCTCTCTGGCTGCTGGTGTTGTAGAAGGAGAGCCGTGTTAGTCTACGGTGGCCAAAAACCTGGTGGCGCCTTTTCCAATTCACACACTTTATTCAGAGGCAGAGGCTTTTATGAGTGGCAGCTGCAGCTGAGAAAAGCTTCTGCCTTTGAATAAAATGTGAGAGTTGGAAAAGGCGCCAGGAGACTCCTCCTGATTTCCAGCTGCTGGTGAAGTGCTCTGCTCCTTTTGGGGCCTCTTGCCTGTGCTGTTTTGTGGCCCCAAGGAACGCTGGCCCCGGTCTTTCCAGAGCATGGAGACCGTAGACTTGGCAGAGGGGCCCCTGCTCTGTGCGCTGCTCTGTCTTTCTCCTCCTGGACCCCTTCTGTATTTTTCTTCACCATATGCTGATGAAAGTCTAATTGGTACCTGCTCCTCCTCTGCTGTTTTAATTACCACCGAGCTATAAATACTCTTTTCCTATGAATGGAGCACACAGGGCTTGTT